CATGTGTCCGCGAAGGCGGGAGGGCAGTTTCGTTGCTCTTGCCTGCCAGGGCTCACACGTGGCCATCCATGTGGGCTCCCCACAGGTTAACATTCTGCCTCGATTCTCTGGAGTCCACTAGAGCTGGGCACAGACAACCCCACTTGGGTCTGATGCCAGTTGGTGGGTGGTGCTTTCTTGCCCACCGAAGGTGGCCCAGGTGTCTGTGATGGTGAATGTGGTGGTTGCAGGCAAAAGCCCGGCCCCCTGTGCTGTGCACACAGTAGGGGCCGCGCTAGAAGTCAGAGCTCACCCCACAGCTGAGAGGATGAGTCCAACTTGTTCCTTTTCCTCCAGGCTATTAACTTCCATCCCTCAAAGTGAGTGAGGTCTTGCTGTGTGTTCAGTGGCCACAGTGGGCAGCCTGGCTGAGTCAGGTGCTCTTGTGTGGCCCGCTCTTGCCTGCTCTTCCCTTCCTTCCCTAGCGGGCACTGCAGCCCAGGAAAGCCTCTGCGGGGGCCGCTGGTCACTGGGACCATGGGTGTGAGAGCTGATATTTCGTTTTGTCTTCTCCACCAGCCGGCAGCACTGGGCCTGTTGTTTGAGAAAGGGTCTTAAGGGTCTTGCTCTGTTACCAGGCTGGAGTGCGGTGGTACAATCACAGTTCACTGCAGCTTCGACCTCCTGGGCTCAAGCATTCCTCCCACCTCAGCCTGCTGAGTAGCTGGGACCACAGGTGTGTGCCACCGCACCCGGCTATTTTTTAATATTTTTGTAGAAATGGGGTTTCACCGTGTTGTTCAGGCTGGTCTCAAACTTCTGAGCTCAAGCAATCCTCCTATCTCAGCCTGCCAAAACATTGGGATTACAGGTGTGAGCTACATCACCTGGCCTGCATTGGGCCTTTCTGTGTTTGTCACTGTGGCCTGGCAGGGCTGGCCTCCTGCTGCTGTGCCCTGCTAAGGGGACCAGTTTCCCTTACCACAGTAGACCATGATCGAGTGTGATGTGGCATCTCTGCTGAAACGATGGCAGCCTTGGGACAGCTGCGGCAGTGTCTCCTCCTGGCTTCTTGGCATGAGATGATGTAGGCAGCACCTGACACTCTGGAGGGAGCCAGAGACGTTCTGCAGGGCTGGGGGGGATTTTCTGTTTGCCTGCAGTTGCAGCCCAGCGTTACTCCTGGGCAGAGTGCGAGCCCACCAGTGCTACTGGGAGCCCGGCTGTGATCTGCAGCTTGTGTTCCAAAGGATTCCCTCCAAGGGCCTCCTGACCTTGGCTTTTCTGCCTCTTTTTATCCACCTTTGCTCCTCTGGGGAAGATGTAGCAGGCTTGGAAGTCTCTGCCCCTCGGGCTTGGGCAGGGGTGACTGGTGCTCCTGGCCTGGTTTAGTATCAGCTCGTTGGTGGTCAGGCCCAGTCAGGGTGACCTGGGCACAGCGTGCACAAGAGCAGGAAATGGCACCTGGTTTCGAAGTTACTCTGAGGACGCATAAGGAGAAATGGCCAGTAAGAAAGGATGAGTGATTCATTTCCACAAGTCTCATTTAAGAAGTTCGAGGGGGCCGGACGCGGTGGTTCACACCTGTAATTCCAGCACTTTGGGAGCCCGAGGTGGTAGATCACGAATTGGTCAGGAGATTGAGACCATCCTGGCTAACACGGTGAAACCCCATCTCTACTAAAAATACAAAAAATTAGCCGGGTGTGGTGGCGGGCGCCTGTAATCCCGGCTACTTGGGAGGCTGAGGCAGGAGAATGGCATGAACCCAGGAGGTGGAGCTTGCAGTGAGCCGAGATTGCGCCACTGCACTCCAGCCTGGGCGACAGAGCAAGACTCTCTCTCAAATGAGGGGAGGGTACCAGGCTTGGTGGCTCAGACCTGTGATCCCAGCACTCGGGGAGGCCAAGGCAAGAGGATTGCTTGAGGCCAGGAGTCCGAGACCAGCCTCAGCAACATGGTAAGACCGTCTCTACAAAAAATAAAAGTAAAATAAATTTTTTTAGCTGGATGTGGTGGCTCATGCCTGTAATCCTAGCACTTTGGGAGGCCGAGGCAGGCGGATCACTTGAGGTCGGGAGTTTGAGAACAGCCTGACCAACATGGAGAAACCCTATCTCTAATAAAAATACAAGATTTGCCGGGCATGGTAGCACATGCCTATAATCCCAACAACTTAGGAAGCTGAGGCAGGAGAATTACTTGAACCTGGGAGGCGGAGGTTGCAATGAGGCAAGATCGAGAACATGCCATTGCACTCCAGCCAGGGCAACAAGAGTGAAACTCCATCTCTAAATAAATAAATAAAATTTTTAAAAAGTCGTTCGGGCCAGGTGCGGTGGCTCACGCCTGTAATTCCAGCACTTTGGGAGGCCGAGGCAGGCGGATCACCTGAGGTTGGGAGTTCAGCCTGACCAACATGGAGGAACGTCGTCTCTACTAAAAATACAAGATTAGCCAGGTGTGGTGGCGCACACCTGTAATCCCAGCTACTTGGGAGGCTGAAGCAGGAGAATCGCTTTAACCCGGGAGGCAGAGGTTGCAGTGAGCCAAGATCCTGCCACTGCACTCCAGCCTGGGCAACAAGAGTGAAACTCCATCTCAAAAAAAAAAAAATTTTGGGCCAGGCTCAGTGGCTCACGCCTGTAATCCCAGCACTTTGGGAGGCCAAGGCAAGTGGATCACCTGGGGTCAGGACTTCGAGACCACCCTGGCCAACATAGTGAAACCCTGTCTCTACGGAAACTACAAAAATTAGCCAGGCATGGTGGCACATGCCTATAATCCCAGCTACTGGGGAGGCTGAGGCAAGGAGAATCGCTGGAACTAAGGAGGTGGAGGTTGCAGTGAGCCAAGATCACGCCTTTGCACTCTAGCCTGGGTGACAAGAACAAAACTCCATCTCAAAAAATAAATAAATAAATTTTTAAAATAAAAATGTAGTTCAGAGGGAATGATGGAAAGCTCACCCAAAATTCTCACTTGAAGAGCCTCAGCCCAGGAGCACCTCTCTGAGCCTGAGCCGAGGCTGCATCCTCAGCTGCAGACTGACCCCTCGTGGTTGGGCCGCCACAGCCTCTCCATCTTGTGGCCTGAGGACTCCCTGAAGCTGCCTCACATTATTAGGGATCGCCAGAGCCTTACGGGCATGTGGATTGTGCCTTTCAGGATCTGTTGTATTAGAAACTAGAACTAAGAATGTAAAAAATGTTTTTGTTTCTTCTATTTTATTTCTTTATTTATTTAATTTATTTTTTATTTTTTGAGACAGAGTCTCACTCTGTTGCCAGGCTCAAATGCAGTGGCGCGATCTTGGCTCACTGCATCCTCCGCCTCTCAGCCTCCCAAATAGCTGGGATTACAGGCACCCGCCACCATGCCCGGCTAATTTTTGTATTTTTAGTAAAGACAGGCTTTCACCATGTTGCACTAGGCTGCTCTGAAACTCCTGGCTTCAGGTGATCCTCTCAGCCTCCCAAAGTACTAGGATTACAGGCGTGAGCCACCACGCCCGGCCTGTTTCACTCTTGTCACTCAGACTAGAGTGCCGTGGTGCGATCTCACTGCAATGTCTACCTACCAGGCTCAAGCAGTCCTCCTGCGTCAGCTTCCCGAGTAGCTAGGATTACAGGCAGGTGTCACCACACCCAACTGATTTTTGTTTTTGTTTGTTTGTTTGAGACGGAGTCTCGCTCTGTCGCCCAGGCTGGAGTGCAGTGGCTGGATCTCAGCTCACTGCAAGCTCCGCCTC